GTTGTAGTGGTGATGGTATTCGTGGTTGTGGTTGTAGGGGTGGTTGTAGTGGTAGTTGTGGTGGTGGTGCTAGTTGTGGTAGTACTGGTGGTGGTATTGGTGGTAGTTGTGGTGGTAGTGGTGTTGACACCGACGAGTGACGGGGGTTACCCTCTTCTTGTGACAGTGTTGGTGTTGGGGACACGGAGCCACTAGAGAAGGTGACAGTGGTGGTAGAGCGACACTGGTGTTGAACGGACAATGGAGTTGCTGGTGGATGAGTTGACAGCAGAGAGGGTGAAGTGGTTGGTGGAGGGAGGTCAACCACTCGGAGAGACCACTCCCTACCACAAGTAGTAACAGCCATGAGTCTGGGAATAGTATCTGGGGGGGGGGGTACTAACCAGGTCCCCCCCCCTAATCTGGCAGAACAAAATAATTGGGCTGTAGACTATTTGAGAGAGAGAGAGAGAGAGAGAGAGAGAGAGAGAGAGAGAGAGAGAGAGAGAGAGAGAGAGAGAGAGAGAGAGAGAGAGAGAGAGAGAGAGAGAGAGAGAGAGAGAGAGAGAGAGAGAGAGAGAGTATAAAAAGCTGTGAATTACTACACACATGCCAGAGTTGCAACACCTGGGGTTGCACAGCCCCCCCTCCCCCCCTCACCTGACACAACACCCACCAACACCTGCACTCTAACATCACACTTAAAAAGGATAATCTCCTGGCTAACGGAACATATTTGTTGTGACATTAACTGCGCGCGCGTGTAGGTCACGGTACTCACCTAATTGTTGTTACCTGGGTGTGTGTGTGTGTGTGTGTGTGTGTGTGTGTGTGTGTGTGTGTGTGTGTGTGTGTGTGTGTGTGTGTGTGTGTGTGTGTGTGTGTGTGTGTGTGTGTGTGTGTGTGTGTGTGTGTGTGTGTGTGTGTGTGTGTGTGTGTGTGTGTGTGTGTAATAATACCCGAGAAGGTAATCTCATAACTTCACCAAAGCCAATAACAACAGCTCCATTAATTTTGCATTTAATGCATATATTTTTTTGCAGTTAACTTGTGTAATAACTGTACATATGAATGTGTGTGAGTGGGTGGGGCATGTATGAAGGGCATAGTGTGAGTGGGTGGACCATCCAGAGCATAGCCATATGTATAATTCAACAAGCTGTAGAACTATACACAGCCTCCATGTATAGCCTGCCGAAGTATGGATGAATAAAGATGAATAAACACTCGTGTTAGCCTGATACACAGAGGCCATGTATAACCTGCTGAAGTATGGATGAATAAGTATGCATATACACTGGTGTAAGTCTTCCAGGATGCTGTTATATACATATGAATATTGCATATTTGTCGCCGGGCAATTTAATGATGGTCACACACTACGTGACGAGTGCTCATTGAATGCTTATAAGACATTGCAATGCTTGATTTGTCGACTACCTCGGAGAACGGTCAACGGGCGTTACAGCAGCTGTAGTCGCCACCCAGCGCTCCTACAGCAGCTGTAGTCGCGACTCAGTGCACCTACAGCAGCTGTAGTCGCGACTCAGTGCACCTACAGCAGCTGTAGTCGCGCCCCAGCGCAGCTACAGCAGCTGTAGTCGCGACTCAGTGCACCTACAGCAGCTGTAGTCGCCACCCAGCGCACCTACAGCAGCTGTAGTCGCCACCCAGTGCACCTACAGCAGCTGTAGTCGCCACCCAGCGCACCTACAGCAGCTGTAGTCGCCACCCAGTGCACCTACAGCAGCTGTAGTCGCCACCCAGCGCTCCTACAGCAGCTGTAGTCGCCACCCAGTGCACCTACAGCAGCTGTAGTCGCCACCCAGCGCACCTACAGCAGCTGTAGTCGCCACCCAGTGCACCTACAGCAGCTGTAGTCGCCACCCAGCGCTCCTACAGCAGCTGTAGTCGCCACCCAGCGCTCCTACAGCAGCTGTAGTCGCCACCCAGCGCTCCTACAGCAGCTGTAGTCGCCACCCAGCGCTCCTACAGCAGCTGTAGTCGCCACCCAGCGCTCCTACAGCAGCTGTAGTCGCCACCCAGCGCTCCTACAGCAGCTGTAGTCGCCACCCAGCGCTCCTACAGCAGCTGTAGTCGCCACCCAGCGCACC